AATAAAATCGGCTCTCATCAGAGATATCACAAAGATTTAGACACACCTGAATGCAGATACTAGAGAAAAGACAAAAATAGGTATTACTTCAAATAAACTAGATTATTTAACCCACTGTATTCCTAATGGCTGACAACTGTGGCATGATGTCTCTGTACAATTTTATATTTTGGAGGGTTATATGTGTGTGAGAAGTAACTGAAGCAATGTATTCACTGCTGACTTTATAGCATGATCGGTACCATTTACATGTTATCTAACATCCTCTGGAGTTAGCAGCTTGCCACTAAAGCTTACCTCTAATTTACAGTATAGGGGATTTGGTAAAGGAAATGTTCAAAGCATAACATGTTATATAAGAAGCACTATAAAGCAAATATTCTGTTCACTGTATCTGTAAACCTAGTCTGTACTGAGCTACATGATGGAAAGAGGAAAAGGAAAAGTAGTAAAAGCACACTTTAAATAACCATGCTTTTCTATTTGAAAATACAGAAAATACAAGATAGATGAAAATATCTAATTCCTACATTATTACAATAAATGGTTGAAAACTAGTAATTTACTATGTTTATTTATCAGTTACAATAATGTTAATGGTTAACACAGTGCTGTCTTTTTATATCAATCTACAAATAAATTGCATATGCACTGGACAATAATGTAATAAATGCAGATTGTATTATTTAAGAAAATAATGTACATGATTAATAGATGTGATTGAATGGGCTAAAACTTGCAGACACGATGGTACAGTATGGTCCATTAACGGCTGAAACTTGAGCAACAATTCTGAAATTATGAGTCTATATGTATCTTATTTTACTTGTCTAACATTGTGTACATTACTTTGTAAATATTCGCTTAAAAATGCATCCCCGGATAGTTGAAACAATAGAAGTATCCAGATTTTTGTTGAAAAACAGTCTGATATTAGAATTGTATTTTTCTGCTGTAAATCAGTGCATGCGGGAAATGGTTCTGCCCACAGGAAAGAGATCAGTTAAAAGGTCGAATTGTGGTTGCATTATTAATAACAGATGGTGTATGAAGAACACAGCATAGGGTCATTGAGCAGGGGCAGAGGCTGAAGAGGAGGCTTCTTCTCCTTCACTAGAAACACAGGTTTCTGATAAGAAGGTGATGAAAGATAACTCCTCTATCAGAATGCTAAGTGGGAGACACTGGGGTACATTTTAATCTCTATCTGCTTTGGCTGCACATATAATAGGTTCTCTGAGCAGGGAGTGCTGAGCAGACTGCAGGTCATGACCATTCAGCTGCAAACACACGTCCACACTTGTAGGTACTGGATCTCTCTCTGTCTCCCTCTCTCAGGGGTGAGGAATTCCCTGCCTGTGTCCGATAATTGACCGCAGCTCGGTGCTTGGCTGGGGAAATGTGTCATCTCCAACTACATGGTCTGCTGTCGCATTACTGACAGTGTATTTCTGTCACGGGGGAGGATGAGGAGGATTTGGTGAGATGGAGGTAGAAAAAGAACGGGGTGAATTACCAAATATCACCATTTCACACACCCCTCGTTCTTTTCATTCGGGTTCAGTTTACAACATGGGAGCTTTTCGACTGTGACACCAAAAGGTTGAAATGCAACATCAGTGGTTGCAGAGGATGGAGGCAAAGGACGCCGCGCTAGCTTCGACATATTATCAAAAGCGTAAGCAGGGCATCAAATGAGGGATTAAAACAAATAGGATGCCATTGAAAAGGCCTTCGGGATACATGATAGCGTATTGAGCCCCCCCTGCATGACAGGTTTCATGGCTATACTATCAGCAGCGCGAACAAACACACACACACACGCACACACACACACACCCAAAGACACACAGAGCCCTGAATCTGAGTCCCTATGCCAAGCGGCCTATTGCATAACAGGCTGACATTTCACACAAAGATGGTGCTTGATGATAAAAACATGCTTCCTTACTTCCCCAGCTCCTCGAACAGCTGATATTCGTCGGTAAATCTCGTGCAGATCGTTAACGCCATCCTGAAGGAAGTACCAAGGGGTGTGAGGAGACGCGGTTAAGGTGCACTCACAAACAGTATCCACCACACTCAGTCGTCAACACCGCCCGGTTTTTTTGTCCTGGACCTGCAAGCCAAACTGAGGGTTTCATGCACAGCTGAAGCACCTCAGTCGCGAGCTCTGTTGGGATGATTTCTGCGGCAAATGCACTGCCTGCGGGAGGGCTTCGATTTGGTCGAGAGCTTCCGGCGTTTTTGTCTGCTTGTTCTTTGTTTTCTTCACATGCAGTGGCTTGTCACAGCTCGTAGACGCAGCATTTTGTGTGCATTCCGGTTTCTCTGGTGTGTGTCTGTGCAGCGTGGTGAGGTTCGTCTCTCTGCGCGCATCAGACGCCGCACTACCGCACCTACCCCCCGCTGTGCGCTCAGTCCCGCCCCTTTGCCTGCATTCTCCCATAGGCCAATAACAAACAAAGACGAACAAGAATATATGATATATAACATGAAAATAATAAAGTGTATTTTATCATGGAAATACTATCAACAGTGCCATGGGTAGCCTACATGTGCATTCAGTGTTAGTATTAGTGTATATCAGTGCTGCTTTTGACACTTGACCACAACTAGACAGAATAAAAAACTGGGTGGGACTTTCGGAAACAGTTCTAAATTGGTTTGAATCCTACTTAAAGGACAGAAAAAATCTTTGTTTCTATAGGTAAATACACATCTGAGTTGACAAATATGACATGTGGGGTACCTCAAGGTTCCGTATTGGGGCCTCTTCTCTTTAACATCTACATTCTACCACTGGCTCAGATAATGAAAAACAACAAAATAAGTTACCATAGCTATGCAGATGACACACAAATGTACGTAACCATTTCACCAGGAGACTATGCTCCAATTAAAAACACTGAGTAAGTGCATTGAACAAATCAATGACTGGATGTGTCAGAACTTTCTCCAATTAAACAAAGATAAAACTGAGGTAATGGTTTTTGGAGCCAAGGCAGAACGTATAAAAGTTAGCGCTGAGCTTCAGTCTGCAATGTTCAAAACAACAGATGAAGCCAGAAATCTAGTCATGGACTCTGACCTGAGTTTCAACAGTCATATTAAAATAATTAATACATCAGCCTACTATCACCTAAATAATATTTCTAGGATTAAAAGACTAATGTCACAGCAGGATTTGGAAAAACTTGTCCATGCTTTTATCTTCAGTAGACTGGACTACTGTGTGAACTATTCATATCTTAAACTGCACTGTAACTTTTTATTCATGTACTTTTTATTCATGTATTTTTTCTTTTAATGTTTCTTTTATTATCTTTTCTTTTTAATGACTGTTTTTAAATGCCTTTGTCTGAATGTCTTTCATTTTCGTAAAGCACCTTGAATTGCCTTGTGTAGAAAGGTGCTATATAAATAAACTTGCCTTGCCTTGCCTTGCCTTGTAATGGTGTCTTTACAGGTCTCACTAAAAAATCTATTAGAAAGCTGCAGCTAATTCAGAACGCTGCTGCTCGAGTCCTTACCAACACTAAGAAAGTGGATCACATCACTCCTGTTCTGAAGTCTTTACACTGGCTTCCTGTGTGTCAAATAATTGATTTCAAAATATTGCTGCTGGTTTATAAAGCTTTGAATGGTTAAGGCCCAAAATAAATTTCTGATCTACTGCTAAATTATGAACCATCCAGATCTCTCAGGTCTTCAGGGACTGGTCAGCTTTCTGTCCCCAGAGTCAGAACTAAACATGGTAAAGCAGCGTTTAGTTATTATGCTCCAAATATCTGGAACAAACTCCCAGAAACCTGCAGGTCCGCTGCAACTCTGACTACTTTTAAATCCAGGCTAAAGACTTTTCTTTTTGTCGCTGTTTTTAATTGAACTATTTAAATCTTAAACTGCACTGTAACTTTTATGCTACACCTTCGATGTAGCTATCATTCTGGAGAGGAAACGACCTGTTTACCTTGCATTTACCAGGAGCACAGTGGGCACTGGTTTTGGGGGCAAAAAGAGTGTATTATTTAAGAATTGTATTAAATTGTTATGGAAGAGGATTAGGGCTACATGAAAAAAAATGTGCAATGTGACAAAAGTAGTAAAAAAATTATTCTGAGATTAAAGTCAGAATTTGAAATTATTTCAAAAATATGTGTCACATCCCAAAACATTTTTATATTTTTGTTATAATGTTCAGTTTACTACTTTTTTTTAATTTTTTTTATTGTAGGATAGTTGTTTATTTGTGTGAGAATATTTTCGTATTATGTGGAATTAAAGTTGGTACTTCATAACAGGCATGTGGATGGAGACAATACACACGATGAAACTACCTTCAACATTACTCATGTTCTTTTAGTTGCCATAAACATTATTGTTTCCTCTGATTTATGGTACAGCTTGAGTTTACTGATTTACTGGCTGACTTTATTGGTACAATCAAAAGCACAAATATTTAAATGATGTCTGATTACAGTCTGCACAAATGTATACTGTTAGCTGTATTATTCCACAGGAGAATAAAGTCAGGGTTAGGCTCTGTGAGTAGATAGTGAGTTTAAGACACAAGCTGCATTATGTGGTCTTTCTTTGTAATGTTGACGACAGTCCCATAAGGAAGTGCAATACAGTTTTGGATAAACTCTTAGCATTTTTTCCAGTAAGTGAAAAAGGCTGTGTATTAATAGAACATCTTAAAATCTTAAAACCATATTTAATGTAGTAAATGTAACATTTCTTAGAGTGAAACACTTCATTTCAAATGTAGAATTATCAATTAAAGTTTTAGAGAACACGTTTCCTTCAATTTGTCATTTTTACATCAGTTATTATCGACTATAATACATAATGGATTGGTAATTGTATGAGTTATTTCCAATTCATTATGTATACATTTAAGGAATATTCCAAAAGAAGATGTACAGTATCTGTTACTAGATTGTTGTAAGGTACAGTAGAATAAATATGTAAAAGAAAGAGACATTCCAGTTTAATTTCAGGTACAAAATATTTAATTATCAATTGGTTGTTAGCAGAGCTACACAGCTTCATGAAAATGAAATAACATTCCATAAATATATCAATATTTGCAATAATATAAGTTATATACAAAACAACAGTTCTGCAGTTTTGCAGTGAGGAGCAGCCAAGTCTCAATCAAACAATCCCACACTGATTAATAAATAACATGTTTGATACAAACATACGCTTAGTGGCTAAATTCTGTGGTCATTTGTGAGACAGCGACCCTTTAGTGGCTGGATTTCCAGTGAAAGAATCGACCACAAGAGTGCATAAAGTGCAAACCCACATGTGCAATATTACAAGGGCCCAAAGCTGTCAGTCCATAGTAACGAAGTGACCTTCATTACATAATTGAACACCTGATCAGTTGAAAGGAGGTAACTGAGGGCAAAAAATACTTTTTGGTAACTTCTCATTTGTCTTTAAGCGCCATTGGCCCATCTCTTCCAGTCGGTTTAGCGTTTTTTACTGCAGAACAAAGAAAAATAGAATAAGTTAATTTGTGCATCAAGAAAAAAAAGGTACTCTGTTACATTACACAGGCACATCATAAAAGTAGACTATTGTATCCTTGTACTGAATCATTGAATTTGACTTACTTGGCAATGATGTGGTTAATCACTTTCTTCACCCAGGGAGCGTTGGGGTCCAGGCAAACCTCTTGACCTGTCTTCTTCAGAGTGGCACTGCAGAACCAAGCAAGAAACAGACATGCATTCAGAACAGGTTGGTAAAGTCAATTGCAAAAACTTAAATAATCAACATTATCACTATGTAGATGGCGTGCAGGCTTTGAAATGAAGTCTTACATGATCTCAGTGTCTTCACAGTGGGAGTTGGCAGGAATCAGCTCAACCCTCTCGATGTGACGGCCGATGCGTTTGCTTTCTGTCTCGATGCAGCGGCAGTGCAGCTCCACTCCCAGACTTCTCAGACTCATCCCTGTTAGGAGAGAGGAGTCACAGGTGAGTTCACAGTACTTAATGCATTGAGGAAAAGAAGGCTGCAGAATGTTCACAGCAATTACAATTCAAATACAAAACAGAAAATAATGACTTGTATAACAGCAAAGCTCAATACAGTTACATTTAACATACCTTCACTGGCGGACAGGAAGGCGAGGAGCACCACAATAGAGGTGACAATGACTCTGCTGCTCATCATTTTTCCTTTTATAAATTCTGCAACAATTAACAATAAAGATTTGGAAAGTCTTTGAGAAAGCTGTCTGATGAAGCCTGAAGGTAAAAGTGAAGAAGGATCTTTTTATTCTGTTGAATTGTTCTTCTATGTAGTTCTTTCTCTCCTTTTCTTTTTCTTGTTCAGCCTTCTCGCTCTGCTGTTTGAATATAGCGCTGAGGAGGAGAGTCTCTCCTTTTATTAAAGAAGCACTCAGCTGGAAATGAGTCATTTCCCGGCTCAGTGCAGGTTGCGCAATCTGGGACAATCGTCAGCAGACTGGGAAATTTTCACTCAAGCATGATCAAACTGATGTGTTTTTTCAAGGGGGTGATGGGTCAGCATTTGTCACTAATATAGAGTTATCATTTGGAAAAACACAGTGACTAAAAACATGTTATAAATTGGATATTGTGACAAGAGTCCTTAAGAGAAATGATTTGTAAATTAGACATGGCTGTTAACAGTGCGTTGCACCACTGCTCAGACTAAGACTGACTGTAACAACAAGTGATTCACGTGTAATAAAATGAATAGTTATATGAAATCCATAAATGACTTGCTGATAAATGTAACACCCAGCTTTGTCATCTCAAATGGCCCGGAGAGGAATTACAATTATTTTGATGAGGAAGATTACGTCAACAGCTGGACTAAAACACAAGAATCTCTAAACACTAAGCTGCATGCACTGCCATAACACATGCTTCCTGCTAAAGCATGTTTCAGTATTTAAAAGGATAGAATAAAAGCAATGTGGTGTCTGATTTCTAAGTTTGTTTTCTATTTTTTTCTAAATAAGTTGATTATACATAATAAGTGAGTAATCATGTTATCACAGAGATAAACTTTACATTTGTTTTAAACCATGTAAATGCATACGTGATTATAAGAACATTACTGCAAGGCAATTATTACACTTATCAAAATGGTCATAGCTGGCTCATGCGTTTGACATTCTTAAAGAAACATCTGGCAATATGCGAAAAACTGTTGTGTGACGCAATTTCAACAGGTTCAAACATATCTGCCGCACGTCACTGCGGCTACTTTCACAGAGCAGAAGGAAGTATGGGGAAACTTTTGAAATGTGGGATTAATTTTTAACTCTTGAATTATTGCCTCACTTTAATAATGCCTTCTGATTGACAGGGGACAATGTCTGTAAAGAGTATAACAATTTCATTGAAATTATTTCTTAAAGCTTTTTTATTAAAATAATGTTTTAATGATCAAGAACTGAAATAAATGTCATAAGGGTTAAAATGCAGTGGTAGAAGTAGTATGTAGGTCCTTTACCTATAGGTAAAAGTAGTAATTACACAATGTTAAAATACTTTGTAGCATAAAGCCCTGCATTCAAAACTTTCCCTTATACATATTTAATGTTTTATCATGAATTTGTATGTTGCATTTGACTGTGGGGGAAAATGTAAGGTTGTGCAGATTTATATATATATATATATGCTTTATATACTGTTGGGTAATTTAATTTACAACAATTATATGCTAAAAGATCCTCAAACAGCACAGTTTCCAGCTTTTACGTTTTACAGTAGATCTAAGGTTGTTTTTTTTAAAAATACATTTAGGCTAAGAAGTAGGAGAATTTACTGAACCATTTAGCAACATTTATTCCTTTATTTTTAGATAGATGGTTTTCACTCAACAGTTACAGAGTAAGAACAATTGTTAGAGCTGTTAGATAAACGTTGTGGTGAAAAGTAAAACATTTGCCTTGAGATGTAGACTCAAAGTATAAAGCTGAATAAAATACAAATACTCATGTAAAGTAAAAGCACCTCTTAATCATACTTAAAAATGGGACTTAAATGGAAATGATGACGATGATCTCATTTAAAACATATTATATACATATGTTATTTTCTGTTCATCTTTATTTTAGACTATACACAAATAGAAACTAGATGGTAACATCACATTTAGTCAGCATGTGATTAACCTCACTGGAAAGTTTCTGATTTACTGCTTACCCCGTTGTGGTTAAAGCCAGTTCATGTGGGACGGTAAGTGGCAGGCAGCACCTGACCAATATTAGTTATATGATTATTTTTCTATGTTTTGGTTTTTACTACAATTTACACTGGTGCTAGGAGAAAATAGTTAATGTGAGAGGATTCGTATGGTAGACAAAAGTGTGGAGAGAGAAGAGTGGTGTTTAGGATATGTGCATTTGTATCATTATCTGTTTTATTGTACATAATAAAGCCGAAGACAAAGTGTAAACAGGAACTAGGTTCTGTAGCTTTAGGGGATAATAGAGGAAGTATGATGATATTTTCCTTTATGACATGATTTGTTTGGCCATTCAAGAATTTCCCCTTGACCATAGCTAAAACTTTCATTAGACAAGTAAACCACTTTAATATGTTTAATGTGTTCACTTTTGACTAAAGAAATTGGCCCTGCATCAGGATCACAGCTCATCATCATTAATAATAATTATTATTATATTTTGCAATAACTATAGTATTAATCATCATCACCATGATCATCTTAATCATAATAAATAAAAAATATTAGATGCATTGCCATTACATTTTATATTCAACTTCTCAAGAGGACAAAATGACAACCTCTGACCCTCTATTGCACCACTAAAGGGTTACATTTTTTTTACTTTTTGTGAGTAAAACATCTATTTGGAGCAGACATATATGGCTCCAACGCAATGTCATATAAGCTTTATTTTATCACGTGTTTGTGTTTCTACAAAATGCCGAAAATGCATCAATATCAGCTTTTAGAAAATATTTGCTTTACGATTGCTCTACAGCTTTGCTCTGGCATGAAAACAGGCTCGAAGTCTTGTTAAGTCAATGCTTTGACATTTATTGCCTTCTTCAGTATTGTTAGTTACAATTATTTTGGTATTGCATTGCATCAAAAACAAAGCATACATAAAAGTATTGTATATTATATTGTTAGTTTAATACAGCACATTTAGAGAAAAGTTACTCGGTTTTGAAAGGCATTCAGCCTGATAACATTTACTATCCCCATGCTTTTCCTAAACTAAACATAGCCACATACAAACAAACCACGACACACTGATATAGAGTGCACAAGACTGAGTTAATGAGGATGAAAACAAGAGCTGGGAAAATCAGGAATGATTCATAAACTTGTCAACGCCCAGTTTGCCTTTTTTTTACATTACATTACATTGCATTTAGCTGACGCTTTTATCCAGGAAGACACAACCTTGAAGAAAACCTTTTTGTATTGTTTCTTTGTGTCTGAGAGGTAAGCCGAGGTATGCATAAGCATTACTGTGCCACTTTAGTGTGAGCAGGCTCCACTGTGTGAACGATAGAAAATAATTAGTTTCAGCTTAACTAGGCTTCGACGTTAAACATTGTTAATATAGAACATGAGGAAGTGAAACCTGAGAAGGTAGCCAGCGTCTGGGAATTTCAGGGAATGCCAAAGTTTCTGGATTGACAAAGAGCTGGAGGAGGGGTTTGAGATTGACTGCTTTTTCCCCTCACAAACAAAAGTTTGAGTTGGGGTATCAATGTGTGGGTGGGCAGCCCTGCAGGGGTTTACATTCCCCATGTGTGTTACAGCGTCTCTCTGATAATTACCATCGTGGCAGGACAAGCTTATCATCAGGACTGACATAGCTATAGCTTTTCCTATGAAAGCTATAGATGAATGTGAAAAGGCTGTTAACCTTATTTTTGTATGCTCACTATATTATAATAATTATTTTGTATTATTATATACCATATACATACACCATATATACTATATACATGATATACTCCATAAATACCATATATATGCCATATATACATATATATTTATATACCATATATATAAATATATATAAGGTAAACTGTATGATATGGATTTATATACCATATATATACCGTATATATATACCATACATATCATATATATATATATATATATATATATATATATATATATATATATATATATATATAACATATAAATATACAAACCATATATACACCATACATATAAATATACCATAATAATATACCATTTATGAATGAGTGGACAACCATGTTATTCTTGGTCTTTGATTATATATAGCCATTATCTGTATTTGGTTGCAACAAGGACAATAATTCAGTTTATAAAGCAAAAGAACATGGATTGGAACCATGCAGGCCGAATGGAAAAAAACAGCAGGTCTGGCCGGCATGTGAAAGGAAGACAGAAAACAACATTAAATAATGATTTGAGAGAGAATCAAAGGATCAGTGCCGGTATATGATCAATTAAAATCTGAAGATAAAAGGGAAGATTGAGGTTGATACAGGTGACGAGGTGGGAGGGGAAGGCAGAGTGGGTATGGAAAGTTGGAACAGTAAGGTAGACGGATGAAGAAGTCAGGTAAGGGAGTTTGGTTGAAGGATGTAAAGAGCCAATAAAGGGGACTTGGTTTCTGAGAAAGTTGGAACGTGGCTGAAGAGAAAAAAGAGAGGCATACTTTAATGCAGTGTTTCTCAAACTTTTTCATATCAAGGACCACTTAACCAATAAAAAAACACTCGCGGACCACCGAACTCGACAAATATCCAAAAACACATCGTTTTTCTAGAACAGATTATCAAACAAGTGGCAACATGTGTGATGAAGGTGTTGCGCTGGGCTATATCATGCAAGGTGAAACTTAAGCTCACTCCATTGCGGAGATATTCCCGCGAGAGTGCGGAAAACTTTTATTTATTTCAAATGTGAAATTGTACCAATATACTCACGGACCACTAGGGGGCGCTCATGGACCATCAGTGGTCCGCGGACCACACTATGAGAAGCACAATGATTTGTTTAAGAACAGTGAAGTTGCTCAGTGATGTTGCAAGGCTTTCTGGGGTTACAAATCAGGAACAGATGGGAAAGATAAACAGCCTTGCGCAAGAAATCTCCACAGTCCGGACTTGCAAACTGAACCAGTGCAGTGCGTTTAGTTTGTTCGGCACAGATTTCTGACACAGCAGAGCAGATATGTATATTATAACTATCGTGGCACTCCTTTTTTTTTTAACAATCTCTGAGGGTGAGTTTAATTCTTTCAATTGCTGTTCAAATAAGAATTTGTTGTTGCACTCTGCGATGACAAGTAGCCTACCTGTTTATGATCTGCATTTAGCCACCAGCAGAACACTTTAATCTGTTTCTGTCCGGAAATGTTTATGCTTCTCTCACCTCTCCCAACGTCAGGTATCAGTCTGGGGAATTGGGGAGGGATTACACATTGTCGATGCGTCGGCAAAGAGAAAAAGCCAATTGGACGTTACATAGGAAGGGTGGAGGTGAAGCCTGCAGGCCCCCACTGCGAAGATATAGAGATTATGTAAGCCATTGTGCAAAAGTTTGACACCTATGTCATAATATGGCTGTAATATCTCTTAAAGTCTTACAAGAGATATTGATTTGTCTGATGTCCTGCAGTGCCACTCTTAAAAAGAATGGGCAGCAGATTTGTCTGGACCCCAATGCTCCTTGGGTCAAAAGAGTGCTCAAGAGGAAACCGACAGGGTACGTTTAGCATTACTGTATTTTTGTGAATGGGTTTTTCAAAACAATATATTGAAATTCTCCATGTTGTGGTGTAAGATTTGAAAAACATAGGATTGCACAGTCTGAGTCACATCTTTCATAGGGGATGTTGTGACCTTAGAGTCAACTTAACTCTGGCTATGTTGTGGTTTTCCAAGTTCTTCATTGTGTGTGTTGTTCATAATAAGTCACAGATCAGGGCAACATGAGGTTGTTCTAAAAAGTTATTTTTTTGCATCATGTTTGCTTTACATTTAACTTTTAATGAAGCTAGTTAACCATTAGTCATGCAGCTTATAAGGGAGTCTTTGTTGTAACAAGAGATGCCAGATCATTTCCTGACAATACGGAAGCAAAAGTCCCAGTCTAATTTATAATAACTTACTCAAAATTGGGAAATAAAAACATTTCACAACTATTTCAAACAATAGTAATATGTTACACATTGCATTTAAAATCATGGAATTTAAATTAAAAATGTAGGCTATCATGAATAATTTATTCGGCAATTTCATATTGTCCTTTTAATTGTGAGCAAATCATTATCTGCCACCAATTCCATATTCTGTGTTTGTGTAAGTGAAGTGAGATTGATTACTGTATATACATTTTTTTTCACTGTAGGCAGCAGGGGCGGACTGGAACTACAAATCAGCCCGGGACTCTCGACCGGCCCACTTCGGTACCGCCGGCCCACCGCGGTACCGCAAGTACATACCGCTAGTAAATTGTCGACGGGGGGGTAGACAATTTACTAGCGGTAGACATTAAGGGTAAATAATGTCTACCTCCGGGCCGGTGGACTTGTATTATCACTGGCCCCACCATTGTAACCACTGGCCCGGAGCATTCATCCAAAAAAAAATCGACTAATAATGAAGAAAATTAACACATTTTTTGCAATGGTAATTTATGCACTAACTACATTACTACTTGTAGTACAACATTTTAATCATCGGTTCTTCCTCATTTTCCTCAATTGTTCATATTTGGTTTATTAAAATAATGATATTGTGGTCATTGTTAAAAAATGTCTGCTATTATTATTATTTGTATAATGCACTTTCTGCCTTTCTGTCATTAGGAGTTAGACATGTAATGGCTATGTAATTGATTTGATTAGATCCTTCATTATCCTAAACTGCTGGGACATTTCGCCAATACCTTTATATTGTCTACTCTTCACTTACTTGTCAGCATAGGTCGGCATTGATGTACAGAGCCGACAGAAGACCTTGTTTATATTGGCATCATATTGAGAGGTGCAGCCAGTGACGCGTCCTAAAACCAGGAAGTATAAGCTGCTGGTTCCCTCGACAAGGGTTTTGGAAAATAGCGGGAAATAAGGTCTGTGGAAAACAAACCTGTTTGATAAATGCACGTTTTGTTCAGCCGGATAATCTCCACATGTCTACACTACTTTTATAATTTTCGAATCATAAATCTAATCGATAGATTATAAAAGGGTTTTAGGACGCGTCACTGCAGCCAACTCCATCGATCAAGCTGGTTGAAACTTTCTCTCCCTCTTCTTCTCATATTCCCTGTCACTCTCCTTTAACTCCTCCGGTGACTTTCTTTTATTTGAAGATTGTTTTTTGCCCGGCGCTTGGCCGGTTACCGCTGGTATTAAAAACATTTGGCGAATGGTTAGGTGGCGCGATAGTACGGAGCCCCCTAGGGGACATAGAGAAGAAAAACATTTTTATTTGAAACAAAAAAATGTTTTGCGAGATCTCGCAATACTTTTGCGAGATCTCGCAATACTTTTGCGAGATCTCGCAAACCCCCGTTGCAGTTTGTAGACGGTCCCTAATCTACGGTGGCCCTGAAGTGCAAGACACCACAGCATTTCAGAAAACACTACAGCATTTCAGAAAACACCACAGCATTTCACAAAACGCCACAGCATTTCAGAAAACACAACAGCATTTCAGAAAACACCACAGCATTTCACATTGGACGGAAATGGTATTCCTTTAGAGAGAACACTTCTTGTTTGTGATTGGACAGAGCCAGCCAGAGAAGCACTGCTGTGGTTGGTTGTTTTTGCTGTCAAGAAATGACGCCGATGACAGCGAAATATGTCCCAACACATCAGCCGTTAGCACACACTCAGAGCTTACAGCTCCTCATATCTGTTCAGAAACTGGACAAAAGTTAAACATGTACAAACCTCAGACTGTCTATGTCATGGCGAATACAGTCGCTGCTTTATTTATGTCTGTATGACGTTGTTGTGAGTGTGGACGGAGCAGCAACAGGTTAGTTTAGCCTGATGGATCCGATTCCATTCAGAAAACACGCATTTTAAAAGCTTTTCGCCTGCCGTCTTATCTGCAGACTTGTCAAAGCGTTAATTCATGGTTTTTACTAACCGTTATCAGTATGTAGTTACTTCGGCATCACTTTGAAACGTGTATTACAATTAAATCACGGTCAAATATGTTCATTTTGTTGTAGTTGGTATCTCCCATAGGATTTACATGGAGATACGCCCCGCCCCCTCTCCAGCGCCTCTTGTTTGAATGACAGGAGCAAACACAGCTGACAGCCGCGGTGAAACTCGAGCGATTAGAGCGATGCGAATATTGGGTGGTCTACCATAGTATTTACATGGAGATAAGCCCCTTAAAACCATGAATTAATAAAGCATTAATTCTGTGTTTACTCCTGTCATTCAAACAAGACGCTGGAGAGGGGGCGGGCCGTATCTCCATGTAAATCCTATCGGAATCGGATCGATCAGGCTAAACGAACCTGTAGCTGCTCCGTCCACACTCACAACAACGTCATACAGACATAAATAAAGCAGCGACTGTATTCGCCATGACATAGACAGTCTGTGTTTTGTATATGTTGAACTTTTGTCCAGTTTCTGAACAGATATGAGGAGCTGTGAGCTCTGAGTGTGTGCTAACAGCTAACGGCTGATGTGTTGGGCCAATCACGAAGCGTCATTTCTTGACTGGCAGCAAAAACAACCAATCACAGCAGTGCTTCTATGGCTGGCTCTGTCCAATCACAAACAAGAAGTGTTCTCCCTAAGGAATACCCTTTCCGTCCAATGTGAAATGCTGTGGTGTTTTCTGAAATGCTGTGGCGTTTTGTGAAATGCTGTTGTGTTTTCTGAAATGCTGTTGTGTTTTCTGAAATGCTGTTGTGTTTTGTGAAATGCTGTGGTGTCTTGCACTTCAGGGCCACCGTACTAAGCACTCCTCTCCCTCCTCAAGCTGCAGATTGTGACCAATTCTTGATGCTATGTTGTAGCGTTGATAAACGAAACAATTTAACTAAATTGCTAGTCAAAATACCAATACCACAGGACCATTTTTTTTTTAAAGCAATATTTGTAGTGGTCCGAGCGGGCAAGTGGAAAGTAGCCTACGTTATGCTGGCCCGGGGTGTCTAAATAGTTTTTCCGGGCCAGCGGGCCATTTAATGCCGGCCCACATCGTCCGACCGGCCCACTTCAGTACCGGCCCATCGGGATTCGTCCCGAACATCCCGATGGCCAGTCCGCCCCTGGTAGGCAGACACCTTGAAGAACAAACCTTCACAGATTTAGCGGAGAGGGAAAGAGAACCATTTTGTTACAATTGTATCACCACTAAAGTTCAAATCGGTATCATGGACTGAACTGATGGAGCCCAAGAAACATGTGTGGCAGCTGAGGTACTCAAAACATTGTGCTCAGATCTTCTACCCAACTTTTCAATTTATTGTGTGACAGTAAGAAATAGGCATGCTGATGTAAAATGTATATTTTCTTATTTGTTTGTAATCAATAAAAAACTTGAAATGCCAGGGGGATGAATGTTAATATTTGTACTAGAAAAAAATGAAAAATGCACAATGTAAACTGTATATGTGTTCAGACAGAATAACACTCAAGTGAAGTGTTGTGTCTGTCTGCAAACTTGTTTCCAGAATTGCTATTGCTTCACGTATCAGATTGGTAGAGATTATTGTAGACATAATAAATAATACAAGTTTGTAATAATAACAAAGTTCTGATATACAATCTGGACAACAACATTTCAGACAGTGTTTTTTGTTTCATGGAGGCAGCGTCCCTGCACAGTCAGATACAATTCTCAGTGGATGGAAAAAATCCACACTTTTAGGACAGCCATTTGGTGTGTGTGTAAAGTTCACTCCTCAAAAGGCTGCTGCATTGCTGACATAGCGTGATTTCACCCCAAAGCTGAACAGTCTTTCAGGTTATCGTTTTTGAAGAAAAACATTTCTCACACCTAATCAGGAGCCAACATCAATTCAATATTGTTGTTTCTGACCCAGCTACAATGACATCAATGACATGAGTAGATGGAATCATAAAGTCATAAGTGATATGCTCTGAGCTAGAAATTGTTTACTTACTTAATCTGCCACTTAATCTACCACATAGATAAATATAGTTTACTTACTTCTAAGAGAATTATTTTGCAAATCTTGTATAATTCATATGATTTTAAATTCAATTGAAAATCCTAGCATTTTTATTTAATTTCAACAATCAGGCAAATTCATGGTACATTGCCTCGAGCAGGGGGGGATTGGTGAAACCGGGGGATTGCTTGTATAAACATCACTACAGAGCTCTTAATCTGTTCTATTCTTGTAGGGGAAAAAAAGTTTCAAGGTTTCGCATATTTCCTGTGTGAAACAGGACTTCAGCATGTCACAACAGGTACAACGTAGATTAGATGTTAATCTGAAATGAGAATCATTGCATGGCACTGATTCGCATTTCAGATCCAGCCACTCCCAGTTTAAATGTGTTAGTCCCAGAGTTCCCGCATTTCACTGTCACCTGACTTCCAGGCCCTCCTGCACACCTGTTCCCTATTCTGTCATTGGCTTAGAAGTTTTTATACCAGCCCATTTCCCATCATTCCCCGCCTTTGTCTCTAACCGATAGTTTTATGGATGTTATTGCCTGTAGTTTCCTCCTGCCTGTTAGTGACTTTTACCTGCTTTTGATAAGTAACCTGAGCTTCAACATCAATCTTGCGCTCTGTGAGTCATCTTGTTTGTCCCTACCTGGTTTACATTATGATGGTTTCATGGATGGTTTTGTGATAGGGAGCAATGGAATATTTATTTTTAAACTTTTGAACATTTTGGCTACAGCTGCAAGTAAAAAACCTACTTTGAAGCTGGCTCCAGTTATTCTGCTTGAGGATGCCACTGGGGAATGAGGCCAAAGCTGCAACCAGCCGGTGTCAGAGCCTCCTGTAATCGAAGGAAAAGCTAAATAAACATCACATTCGATGTAAATTGCAAAAGGCTTTTTCCACAATCATTCTCAGAGGATGCATCTCACATCTAATAGTTTTATGAGAATTGTAGGCTATATTTACCATTTTAAAATGGGTTCAACATAGGAATAGGTTGAGTTATACAGTTGTAAAACAATACATATTTGGTGTGTTTTCCTTTTCGAAATATTATTCACACACCAAGAAATGTTGTTGCTATCTATTTTTATATAGTTCATATCTGTGACAAAGCACTGTAACCAACGTAAACAACTTGTATTGTAGTCTGTTGATAAACTATACATAGTACAGCAAACAGAATTTGTGCAAAGAAGTTTGCACAAAGGCAGGGAAACGTATGTCCTTAAAAAAAGCTTTATCACATATGAATGATAGCACCAGAATCAGATTCCATGTAAATATATAATATATAGCCTATCAGAAGAAAATACTACAAGATCACACTACAAATCAATTATCCCACGTTTCTTGATGATCATGTAGGCTATGTTGCTTAATACAGGCACAGACTTATACATATTCAATTATTGAAGAATTGTTTGATTAAAAATGATTTAAATAAAAATGCAAACATTCCAAGATGTTTCTTGTTTTTTATAGTATGTCGTTGTTTCAGGTTGTTTCAAATTACAATGAAAGTAATAAAAGTGTAAGAAAGCAATTGCACTCGAAATGAAAATCATATGCATAGGCCTATGCATCATAATTTACTCTTAATGCTATAATTAAATGATAATACTTTTAACAATACACAAGAACGCCTAGCCATCACAGGATTAAAGTGGTTAACAACAACGTTAACAGTCTGGACTGACTCTAATCAACATTTTACACTTAGAATTACAACAATATGGCACCACTGAAAATGTAAAAAAATAAGAAGGCAATCAAAACCAAATGTGTAATTGATAAATATTTTACTTAATGTTACCTTTTGTTGTCATCACTATTTTCTTTATATTTAAATGTCGTACTTTTTACTCTGTAGCCTATATTTACATTTATACCGCGAATCGAATGTCATCTTTTGAGTGTATATAATGTTGGATGTACATATTTATTTTTCTTGAATCAAGTAGAATAACATAATAAAAACGTTACCAGCAGTCCATAAGGTTAACGCCCACTCCAGGGAAGCGGAAGATGGAGCAGTTGTTTCTTCTTGCCGTAAACTGTAGGCAAACGTCTGAACTCCATTTCGATGGCACATCTGCCGCAGATCTGCAGACATCATGGATTTTATGAACTCTCGCAGCAGTGAGGGATAACCCGCCATGTAACGCTAACGCAAGACGGGAAAGCTGCACCGAACATTTAACAGACATGTGTTGATTCACGTTACTATGGCATACTGGTAAAGGTAAGGCTTTAATTTGTGACGGATACGATGCTTGTTGATGTTGTGGCTCTCGTTAGTTAAGCAAGGCTCGGAAAAAAATAGTTGCTTCGCTGGATAGCCGTCATTGGTCGTAGCAAACTCTTAAACATTATTATTTCAGGCCTACGTTATAACATTGATCACGTAAATAAAAATAACCGACTAACAGAATTATTGCTTCATTTGTGGTTTAACTGCTAAAATGTGCCTTTAGCAAGATGCAGTAAAAGCGTGCCACTGCAGCATCTAATAGTCATGTGTGTGATGTTTTAAAGGTCCTGTTTATTGTTGTTGTGTAACGGTTGGCGCTAGCGGTTGCCTTAACTGCGCGTGCGTGTGTGTGCGTGTGTCTGTTTCCAGGCTCCCCCCCCCCTCTCAAGGTGCTCCCCTGCCGGTGTGTGTCTCTGCTGCCATGGAGGTGGGCAGCCTCCCTGTGGAGCTGTGGAGGGTTATCTTGGCATATCTTCCGCTCCCTGACCTGGGCCGCTGCTGCCAGGTGTGCCGAGCCTGGAGGGAGCTCATCCTCTCCCTAGACAACACCCGCTGGAGACAGCTCTGCTTAGGCTGCTCCGAGTGCCGTCATCCCAACTGGCCCAGTCAGCCCCACCAGGAGCCCGCGTCCTGGAGAGATGCCCTGAAGCAGCACGCCCTGTCCACCCGCACCTGGACCCAAAATGGGCCAGAGCTCCAGTCCTCTGCCTGTCTGCACTTTTTCCGCCGCCGAAAAGACCGCAGGGTTTGGCATGTGGGTTCCGGATGCGAGTTTGAGACCCTTCGAGGGGCCCTTGGGGTGGTGGGGCCATATGACCGGGTAGTTCTCCACCCAGGGGTGTATGAGGAGCAGGCTGAGTTGGTGCTGAAGGTTCCTGTGGAGTTGGTTGGACTGGGTCAATTGGGTGAGGTGGCTCTCCTGGTTTGTATGGATCAGCAGTGCCCTACTGCCAGGCTGTGTAATCTGGTGTTCATGCCGCCCTGGTTCTCCACTGTGGTCTACAAGGTAGGTAACAGCTTGTCATGCTGGTTTCTTGATACAAACATTTCACATCTAGAGTTTAAGCATGCTGTGGGATGAATGCTGAGGGTTTCAAATTTCTGATTAGAATACCCTACTCTGCTCACTTTTAAATTATTTTCTTTCTGTCTTGCTGAATCTGTCTCACTCCAGTCATCTTTCTCTCTTTTCTTTGCTTCAGACCTCATGGGGTCACGTCCAACTAGATAACTGCAACTTTGAGGGGGCTCAGTTGCAAGTCCGTGGCCCGGGATCCTGCCAGGCTCGCTTCTGCTCCTTCTCGCAAGGCAGCTCTGCTCACTTGCTGGGTGTTGTCCTCAGTTTGATGGACAGCTGTGACTTTTCGGGTAGTGACACTGCTTCTGTGACTGTTGAAGGTCCTCCAGTGTCCGAAAGGAACTGGGCTTGTAAACACTTGGTTGCCCTGGCCAGGACGTTCCCATCATGTGGCGTATCTGGGAGTAACAGCCCTCCCAGTGGCCCTCTGCCTGGTTCCACTGGTGGGAATCAACCCCCAGGTTCAAATGTTAAAAAGGAGCTTGTGAGCATAGAAGACTGGCAGAGGAGGAATGGAGTAGACGCAGCCTGTCAGGGCACAGTGATTGAAAGCTGGAGTGATGAAGATCGCAGCGAGGGAGAGGAGGAGAATCAAGATGGAGGAGGAATAAACAACACCAAAAAAACACTCAAATTGGATTACAAAATCCCTTGTGACCATCATGGCCTAGCCCATTTGCTCAGGCCCCGGCCAGATGGCTCTATGCCTCTTGTCTCCTCCCCAGATCCACCATCTTTGGCCCCTGAACCCCTCACCTTTCAGCAGGAACTAGACAGGGACCCAGAGGCTCAGATGTTGGCTGCCTCCACCCTTGGCTGTTTCCTCAGACGCTGCCTCTTCAGGGAAGGGAAGGGTGGCGTGCACGTGTCTAATTACGGACAAGCTCGTCTGGAGGGCAATGTTTTCCGTGGGCTGAACTATGCTGTCCGCTGCATCCAGAACTCGACAGTAAATATATTTATCATTATGTCTTTTAGACTAACCAAATATTGAATGGCTTGAATGGCTTTTACAGGCTGCATACATTTTTTGAGTTGAGTATCAAGTTAAGGAAGTAGCTCAGATCATGAGTAATTAAGCAGCAGTTTCCTATTTAAGTGTTACTTGAGCTACCTGTCTTTCTCTCTTACCTCCTTCAGATAGTGATGCTGAGAAATGAAGTGTGTGAGTGCCGAGCATCAGGTATTTTCCTGCGCCTCTCTGCTCAGGGCCTCATCGCCGAAAACAACATCCATTCTAATGGGGAGGCGGGGCTGGACATCCGAAAAGGGGCTAACCCCATCATTCTGGTAACCTATGGTGCTCTTTTGAAGTAACAGGAACACACACTAATACTCACATTAGACAACAAAAATCTTATCACCAACTTCAGAGCTTGCATACTGTCAAATCCCTGATGATAGCTGATTGTTGCAAACAAATATGTGTCCGTATAATAACATGAATGCCGAGTTGACATCTATAAACAGTGCTCATATGATTTAACTTTAACATTAGAAGGTATGCATCAAAACAGCTCTTGATTTTTAGTCCTTTTAAACGACTCATGCTTTCTTTCATTCCACAGTGCAACAGAATACATAGTGGTTTGCGTTCAGGGGTTGTTGTCCTTGGCAATGGGAAAGGTTCAATTCGGAGCAACCAGATCTATAACAACAAGGAAGCAGGCGTGTATATTCTCTTCAGCGGTAATCCTGTGGTCAGGTAGGTGGGATTTCACAAACATATAACTTTAACAGGAATGTGTAGACCCTGCTATTACCATTTTGTGGGTGTTTCTCATAGGATTCATACTAGCTCTCCCTTCAAATGCTACACTTCTGCTGTTGTATGGCCTGATAATGCAACTTCACAATCTCTAGGACTACTGCAGTGCAGCGATTTATATTTTGCTGCTATACATAACCTAGCATTTTGCAGTAGAAATGGTTGTATAAGCAGTCCTCATGCCAGGGGTGCAGTTGCTTACATAAACAATTAAGCCTAACCTAGTGTTTCTGCATAGACTACTACATCAAGTCTAAACTCTGTCCTGTACAACTCATATTCTCTTGTCCCTTTCTCTGATTTAGTGGGAATCACATCTTCCAGGGCCAGGCAGCAGGGATTGCTATAAACGAGAATGGCAGAGGCATGATAACAGGTGATTACATTTCACATAAGAAAACCGATTTGGTTCTTCATTTAATTTCAGATGTTATGTGCCAGCCAAAGCACCATTGGTGGTTGTTTAAAGCATTTTCATATATTTTAACTACAGAGAATGTCATCAAAGAAAACCAGTGGGGGGGTGTGGACATCCGCAGAGGAGGTGACCCCATCCTTAAGAACAACTACATCTGTTATGGCTACTCAGACGGCGTGGTGGTGGGAGAGAGAGGCCGCGGCCTTATTGAGGGAAACCATGTCTACTGTAAGTAAATCCAGCCTGATGATGCATCATTAATGTACCTTGACATAATAGCTCACCTCATGTCTCCTCTTTCTTCAGGTAACAAAGGCTGTGGTGTGTGGGTGATGTCGTCCAGTCTCCCTCAGCTGCTGGGAAACTTCATCACCCATAACTGTATGTACGGGCTGGCCGTGTTCTGCAGGAAAGACCCAGAGAACATGGAGGGCAACTGGCCAGGGCAGGAAGGGATTGGTGGAGAAGCAGGCAGTGGGGAGAGGAGGGGGGTAGAAGGAGAAAGGAGAGAAGGGCAGGAGAACCTAAATGAGGAGGGGGAGCTGTTTGCATGGGAGAGTGATCTGGACAGTGAGGACGAGCGCCACTCTGCCCGCCGTGCCATCAGTGTGGCCCTGGTGGAGAGCAACTGCATGAGCTACAATGGAGGTATTTATAGACCTGTTGAGCCTAACCAAGTGTCAAGTTTACTCACTTCCTGTTTCTCATGTTCTCTCCATTTCTCTGTAGCAGTTGGTTTGTACGTGAAGAGCAGTGAGCCCCTGAATGTTTTTGCTAATCTGGTAAACGGTAACCGTGGCACTGGCATAGCTGTGCTTCAGAGCAGTCAGCTGACCCGACTGGTTACAAACTGCATCCTTGAAAATGGTCGAGGTGGTATTACGGTGGAGAAGGACTGCAGAGTGGAGCTTCGTGGTAACGGCATCTATAAAAACTGTGGCCATGGTGTCAGTTTCTGCGGCAACGGGCAGATTTTGGAGAATGATGTTGTTGGAAACCGGGGATACGGGATCCAGGTTTTGGGCGGTGCTGACATCAAGGTGAGATGGACTGAGACTCAGACACAGTTTCTTAATTAAATATTTACACATCATTTATTTACCTTCAATTGGTTTTCAAATGTTTATCTTTAGGTGATGCGCAACCGTGTCCAGCCAGCACAGGGCTGTGGAGTGGCTGTGCTAGGGCCAGTAAAAGGTGTTGTCCATGACAACGTCTTGTTCCAGGGCCACCCTGGCAACAAGAAGGAACTTCTTCATATGGATGCTGCCAATGAGAACTGTGTGTTGCGCAACAACAGTGTTCTAAGGCACAATCACAGGTAACTAGGCAACAGAAAGTGCCAGAGATTTAGACCCGCAGATGTAGTTGTCTATCCTCTTTTTCCTGTCAGACGATATTTGTCACATTGATGTGAAATATCACCTCGATCTGCAGCTCCCCTTTGCTTAACTGAGCTTTAGAAAGATATTAAGCACCTCTTTACTGCTTTGGTTTACATAAATTGTCCTCAAAGGGTCATTTTGGGCCAAAGGCAGCCGTTTTCAATGACAAAAGTCCTAAAAACTCCTGCACACGTCCAAATTGCCTGAACCAACAAGCTAGTGAAGCATTTACCAGCTAAAGACAAAGACGTGTTAGGTACAGAAACAGAGCTACAAAAAGTTAAAATTGGACTTATACTTGCCAGGTGGACATAACACATGCTGCCCGGTAAATACTGAATGTCTAGGTTAGGAACTGTTTACATATAATCTTAAAAGGTGGTATGGCAATGTTATGTTCAAAGTTTCAGACCACAATGGGGTTAAAAAGTAATAATTGCTGGTTTAAGATCTGCTCTGCTCCAGATTTGGTATAAATGTATTGTCTGGAAAAGTCAAATTCACCTCTTCCTTTTTATCTATGCATTTTGTAGCTGTACTTCTGCTCCTCCCTGGGTTTTGGAAAACCCTCCACCTCGCCCACTGGCCAGCTCACCTTCTGGTCTCTCCTTGTCCCAATATCCCTCCAGACTTGGAATTTCCATGACGACCAGGATCAGCGCCACTGTAGAAAGTGGTTGCCACAATGGCAGCATGTTCTGCTCCATCCTGTGAAAGCACTTAGAAACCAATATGGACTTGTGTTTGTTGTACATTTGAAGCACGCTGGCCTCCTCAGAGAAGACCTTTTCAAAAAGACGCCCTCTTGTTGAGGTCTAGTAAAGAAGATGTTCCGAGTATAACCACTTAAGGGGCAATCCCCCTTCCAGTACATTGAGGTGTCACCACATTTTGTAAATCTGAAAGAAGATTTGTATAACTTAATGCTCAAACACCAGTGCACTGGTGTTTGAGCATTTATCATTGATACATCATCACATGTGGACTCTTGAAATTAAGTTGCAGTAACACACATTCAGGCATCATCTTCCAACAACTGTTTCCATACAAAGCTTTAACTTAATTATGTTCTTTAACATTGATATTCATGTACAGACCTGCTGTAGACTTTGTCCGTTTGCTTCTGAGACTCACTGTTTGGGAAGTGCACATTTTTATAAATCCTAGCAGTAGTCAAAGGTTTCAGAGATGCCAGCTTCAACCATGCTGCAAAGTAAAGCTGTGCCTTGTTTGACTTTGTATTCAATCAACGATTGTAGCTGGATAATGAGTTGTCATAGTGTGAGTGTTTATGCAAAGATGAAAAAACAAAGCCAAACTCAAGCTTCTGACTCTTGCACATGGCTGCTTCCTGGTGAGTCTGTTTTTGTATCATATCAATGTTTTTCAAATGTGATCAGCTTTCTTTGAGTTGATAGAATTCACTGAGATGGGACCCGTTTTCCCTCTAGATACCATCGACACGCTGCAGTGACACAACCACAGACTTGCCTGGTTAAAGACAGTTTTAGAAGGAAAAATGATAAACAGTGTGCAATATGTGCTGTCTAAAATTGTGCCTATATGTTTTTACTGTCTACGCTAGATGTTTTCTGTCATCTAGAATTTGTTTACAGCTCATTCCTCTGCTTTTTTGTATCTTGCACAGTAAGCAATAAGTAAAGATATCATGTACAACTCAAGAGGTCACCACTTTATTTGTCTACAAAATAAACAGTTATTGTTTGTGACATTTCCAATTATTATTGTCCTCCCTCTTTTTTCAAAGTGTTCTTGATCTTTAGTGAAATTTCTTGCGTTTCGGTCTATCCATGGACTGCCCATATTTAACCAGAGGTAGAACAAGAGCAGCCTGCCTGTTTGTGTCTCGCACCCCATCCTCCTCAGCCTTCACCCGGGGCAACTTCATTAGAGTCAGTCCCATTGACTTTGCTATGTCAATCATCCTATAAGAAAACACAAAAACATCTGTTACCATTATACTTGCAGAGTTCTGCTTATGTCCCTCATACAGGCAGTTATTAAACAAACAGTAACATTAAGTTATATTAATATTTGATTTAATGCACTGGTCTTACACATTGTATCACAAGGAGTTACACATACAAAGTAAAACGCTTTTTCTTATACAAATACAGGCTATTCCCTTTTTCCCCCTTACCTGGCCTCGGTGATTGCTAGGTCACGGTGGAGTAATGTGATGTCACAGGTCATGTGACTCATGTGCAGCAGCAGGGCCAGGGAGTAAGCTGCTAGTTTGGAACGCATTGATGATGACACAACGTTCTGGACCCTAAAAGAATGAAAAAGAGAAATCTTGAGATTTTTTCAATAAAATTAGTGCAACAAGAATGGTCGAAGTGACAGTTTTGTGTTATGAAAAGAAAAATACATTTTGGTTTAAAATGGTGCATCAAGAGAGAGAAAAAAAAAAATCAGTCCTTGCAGATATAAAACATGACATAAGTTCCACCATACCTGCCACTGTTAAAACTCTCCACAGTGAATGTTTTAAACAGTTTGCTCTGAATGTTGCGAGGACAGCCTTCCTCCTGCCCGACTGTATACGTAAACAGAAGTAACAATTAGTTTGTGAACCATAGACATGCATAGGATCACTTTTAACTCTGAAAAAAGGCAAAAATCGAACTCACACTTGCGGGTGATGCTCCGCTGCCGTGACAGATTGAGGAGCAAAGAAAGGTAAAAGGCACATCGAGATATTTTATCTCTGGCTTCACCAACAGATGGCAGGTTCTCCAGGTGCTTCACAACAGACAAGCACCTTAAATAAAAAGTGAAAGTTCAAACAAAAGTTAGTAGATGGAAGAAAACAACATGAAACTTCAAAAAGAAAGTAATCAAGCGTGAGCTCTTTGTCCCCCTACCCTCCATCATCTCTCATCTTCTTCAGCTCCTCAAGGGTAAGTGATGCCATCTTGGTTCCAGCCTGCTCCAAAGATGCAAACTCTACTGGACTCAGGACTGTGGAAATCAATTAAGGATGACCCAAACAAACAAACTCAGCTGCAGCTTGTACCTCCAAATATATGATCTGTTCTACCATCTACAATTCTTGCATTCACTTGTTGACACAGAATAAAGGATACAATCATCAAATAGGTAGACGTCCTCAGGTCTATCAGCGCCTGCATTGCAAGGAGGCAGGTGGAAAGTCAGGTCTCCTTGGGCCTCTGTCTCAGCCACTTCCTGTTGGAGAGCTGGGTGGAGAAGAAAAAATGATGATATTCACACAGGAACAGCAGACTACTCAAGCAACTAGATCATCAGGGTTAACAAAGCTTCTTTTCTGAATTAACCAACATCTCTTGGAGATCTTTTCATGATCAAATGACTAGTTTATGATTTGGTCATACTACAGACTTCTATATTCATGAGTCCATGTAGCTTACCTTCCAGACCCTTCTGGTCGATCACAGTGTTGGCAGCCTTGGCCACAGCTTGGTGCAGAGTATCACTGCCCACCTGATTGAGCCTGCGGGAGCTCAGAGCTCTCTTCTGTTTGTTGGTGCCAAACGCCTCTATTAAAGAGTCAACCTTGAGAGAAATTAAAGATAAGATTATTACATAGAGTTCATTCCTATCTGAGCCAAGTCTTCTATTATACAAATCGTTGTACCTTATCTCTGTAGGTCTGAGTAGGGTCCTGGGTTTTTGCAGACTCTTCAATCTCTCCTGGTATAACAGGTTGCATGTTGAAGAGCTCAGCACAGTGCACCTCCATGTGCATGGTCTCCTTGTTTAGCACTCCTACATAATATCTGAAAAAACAGACACCCAAGCATCACATTTTATAGTTGTCTTCACACTTGCCAATGTGACCCAATAAATTACATTTACATACTTGCAAAGGTTGTTGCATTTCAAAGACCCTGCTCCAAAGTTATTTCCAACATAGGACAGTCTGTCTGATTCAGCAGCCTAGACAGGAAAAAAGGCAACAGTCATTAGAGTACTTTAAGTAGCACAAAGTAAACGAAAACATCAATAAGGTTGAGAGTTCATCTTTCTTACCATTATCCGCCTGCTCTTTTTCCTGGGGTTAGCCTCATCTGCGTTCTTATACATCGTGAAACCCAGTTTTTCTGCATTTTGGACGTTGCCGTTTGAAAAGCGAACTATGAGAAGGAAAAAAATGACGAGGACCTTGTCAAGACATGTGTTTTCACCATAACACATTTGGGATGATCATTAATGCAAACAGCAACTAACAAGATAAAAGTAGTTCATAAAGATTTTGATTTTTTTTTACTGTGGTTACTACAGTGAAATGTTACTTTTGCACGCTTTTGCAGTCACTCACAACACTATTCTTTAACAACTAGCTCTGGTGCTAGCACCCACGTGTGCAATATAAACGCGTGTTTAAAATAGAGACGATAAGAACAACCCAGCATTTAGTGGCAAGGTTATATTCTTCTAACTCGATTCAACAACCAACAAATATCGGACAGTCACCAATAACAGCTTTGTCGGAGTCTCTCTCCTCTTCACAACACACCAACGAGCAGGAGGCAGCCATAGTTGTTATCATGCGTTTGACGCAAGAGGTTTCACTCCTGTTTACTTCCGTGTTCACCAAGAACCTCGTTCAGCCCAAAGTATGTGTAGTTAAACAAAAACAATACCCACTTATACCAGAAGCAACATTGAAGTTATGAACATAATTAATTCGGTCAATTATTTTTATTTTAAATGACATCATATACAGTATTGTGCATTATTAGTACTTTAGTAATTGGACCTACTGTCTTACATTTACAACACTTGACTGTTGCATTGCAACTTTTACGTCAGAAAAATATCTCAGTACTTCTTCCAGCCCAATGAACCACATAGATTAGGAGACAATTAGCAGATGTTTTTAAATCATAGGGTAACAAATTGACCATCTTGACACATATATGATCTTTGGACACGCAGGCTGCGACATTGCAACAGCGACATCTTGTGGCAAAACATATTATGGCAGCTCTTCACCTCGGCGAGGTCATAGGCAGTACAGCGCCACCCTGTGAGTCTGGTTAGAAAAATCAGTCTGAGTGCATTACATTATTAAAAAATATAACAAGCATGTGGGACCCTGATAGTGATTGACATTCACTATGTGTCTCATTACCTGACTTTCGCTCGGTGGATGACACTGACAGCCAGGTCCAGCTGCACCAGACCCACGGTCAGAGAGAGAGAGCGCACACCACTGGGTGCTTTCGCCTCCGCTAAACCATTCAAAGCGAGGAAACTGTGACCCCGCAGGGGAGGTGGGATGTAGCACCAGAAATGCCTCCCAGCTAACGGTGTTTGATGGAGAAAAAGCTGCTTCGATACAGACAAGCGGTCCAGCCTGGTGACCGTATGCTACTGCTTCTGTTGTAGCTAGCAGGCAATTTGCTGGTCAGCTGCCAGCTAACTTTAGCCTTGTGTGTTTCCTCGCCCGGGCCTCTTGTTTCGGCTTCTTGTTAACGGTTCCTACGCTTCGGGAAATTCAAGGTAATGTTAGTTAACTTCCATGTCTGTCTTAGCTCGCCGTCATAACAATAGCTAATGATATGCTAGTGTAGCTAGTAACTTTGACCAACGTAAGCTAATTACACTACTATTTACACTCCGAAGCTATGCTCTGTAAAGTTAGCTGCTGTGTTGTCATTGTGTTTATCACTTTAACCTCACACCATAAGCACCCGTAAACATCAACACTAGCAAGAGTACAAGTTATTTTACAGCATTTTGCTTAACTGCAAGGATGTTTAACTGTTCACTGTTAAACATTGCCCTCAGTGCACGTTAATTACCTTCATTATTAGAATAGATATAGGCCCTCTATATCTGTAAAGACCAACGAATAACGACTTCTGTTTTTTTTTGCTAAACACTTTATCATCACTTCCTCAAATACAGCTGGCAAAATCTGGCCCCAACTTTACTTCCCTCCATCCTGTAGACACCAGGCCACTATATCATAAACACTCCCTAAAGCTACAACCCATTTTCATTATCAGTTCATTGTGTGGATAGTAACCCGAATAATCAGAGATCATTAGGTCCTAAAATAACTGAGAATAAGGAGACGAAAAAGCTCAGATAAAAAAAAAAAAAAAAGTGTGATCACTTAACTACACATTTGAGGATTTAGCAGCAATTGTTTTTACATTTCTTTTGTCGACTAAAGATTTAAGTAATTTCGATAAACTGCTGTTATTGTTATGTTGATCGACGAATGTTGCAAATCATGATTTGCCTCTCCCCGTTCCTCTATATTCAACCTCACCTGCCTCTGTCTTTAGGGCCATGGATTTCCCAGGTCACTTTGATCAGATCTTCCAGCAGCTCAACTATCAGCGTGTCCACGGTCAGCTGTGCGACTGTGTCATCGTGGTGGGCAGCAGACACTTTAAGGCCCACCGCTCTGTGCTGGCAGCCTGCAGCACCCACTTCAGAGCCCTGTTTACAGTGGCAGAGGGAGATGCAAGCATGAACATGATCCAGCTGGACAGCGAGGTGAGAATCTTAATGACATTGTGTTAAAGAAGGCATTCATTACATTTATGTTTGTACTCTTGAGAATGGAGGGTTATTCTAATCCATAATGGGAATTGATGAGCTTCAAATGATAAAAACAAGGATAGTCCGACTCCAAACTCGGTTTCTGCCACTGTTTTGAAATAACTTCCTGTATACTTGCAGGTGGTGACAGCTGAAGCTTTCGCTGCTCTGGTGGACATGATGTACACCTCAACGCTGATGTTGGGGGAGAGTAACGTCATGGATATCCTGCTTGCAGCCTCACATCTGCACCTCAACAATGTAGTAAAGGCCTGCAAACACTACCTGACCACACGTACCCTTCCCATGTCCCCCACACCCGACAGAACCGCCCATCACCACCCTCAGCAGGAGCAGCAGAGGCACAGGCAGCAGCAGCAGCAGCAGCAGCAGGTAGCAGATTTAGCAGCTAATGCTAACCTCGCAAACACTGCCACGTCAAAGTTGCAGCGCTCTTTCCTCCTGCAGCAGCTTGGGCTGAGCTTAGTAAGCTCTGCTTTGGGTGGGATGGAGGAGGACAGAGTTGGAAATGGAGTTGGAAATGGAGTTGGAAATGGAGTTGGAAATGGAGTTGGAAATGGAGTTGGCAATAGAGTGGGCGAACAGAGGGCCTCCTTCCCAATCCGACGCTTCCACAAACGCAAGCCCCCCATGGCCCTGGGCCTGTCAGAGGAGAGGCCCAGGCAGAGGCAGCGTCCCTCTGGGCCTAACCTGGGGATGTTAGGAGAAGAAGGGATGAACGCAGAGCGAGAAGAAGGAGGGCTTCTCTCCCCGGACTCCCACAAGATGGGGGATGAATCCAAATTGGATGGGGCAATGACCGGGCTAGTAGGGGTGTCCCAAGATGATCCACAAATGCCCAGCCAGTCGGACAGTGGACATTGTGAGGGGGAGGACTTGGGGAAAATGCAGGGAGGGGTGAGGAAGGAGGAGGACATGGAAGAGCAGGAGCACCAGGTCAACAGAGCAGGGGTGAAGATCAAATCAGGGACCGAGGAAGAACGGGAACAGAAGGTCAGTGTTGACTTGATTTGCAGTTGTTGTGACAAAGTAAGTTATTCTTATTAGGCCTAATGCAACAACATTATATTTATATCCTAAATCTTGTTTGTTGATACACAAAGCAACATATACACAACTACGGTGTAATTATCCAATGGATGAAAAAGTTAGATCGCAGGTTCCTCAACAGTGCCATTTTCAAGACATAAATAAAAAGTGGAGCATATTTTTGAGATAAAATATATACATTTCTATATATAATAATAATAATAATAATAATACATTTTATTTATATAGTGCTTTTCACAACTCAAAGACGCTTTACAGTATGAGGGAGGGTAGACAAACAAGGACAGGCAAACAAATAAATATAGTAAAATAAACAAAACAAAAAAGGCAGCCAAGAGGAAGTTGATTGAGAGGGGGGGGGGCTTTATGGGTAGACAGAGTTGAAAATATGTGTTTTGAGGCGGGACTGAAAGACTGAGGGACTCAGAGTCACGGAGATCTTGGGGGAGGGAATTCCAGAGCCTAGGAGCTGCCACTGAGAAGGCTCTGTCCCCAAAGCTGCAGAGTGTGGATGTGGGAATGGATAGGAGTCCGGCTGCGGTGGATCTGAGGGACCGTTGATAAGGAGTGAGAAGTTTTGTGAGATAAGGGGGGGCCAGATGGTGGAGTGCTTTGTAGGTGAGGACCAGAATGTTGTAGTTGATGCGATGGGAGACAGGAAGCCAGTGGAGGTCTTTGAGGACTGGGGTGATGTGATGCCATGATTTGGTATGCGTGAGGAGACGTGCAGCTGCATTTTGTACCCGTTGGAGTCTGTTGAGGGATGTAGTGCTGATGCCGTAAAGAAGTGAGTTGCAGATAAGGATGCATACTACAAGAGTAAAAAGAAGAATTTGACATTGCATATCTCGATGTTATGCTATTTGAAATCAACAGAGAGTGTCATTGGTCTTAAAGGGGAACCCAAAACAAGTTGGAATATAATAAAGTTTCTGCAGCTATACTATCATATTAATACAGCAGTGTCAAGTAGATTAGATGACTGGTTCTCAAGGAAAATCAAAGGACAAACTTACACAGAGACTCCTTTCAATTTAGTTAAATATTTAGTCAACGGTGAATGTGAAAAGCTTTCTTAAATCACTCGAACAGACGTTTTACATATGTATAAAGAAATCATGCTACTCTAGTTCGGCTGCTGTCTAAAATATGTCACTCTACTTTGGCCTGTGAGGAAACTCTTCTTTTGCTTCACACAGGTGGTGGTTAAACAGGAACCGCTAAGTTCGCCCGAGCCGACTGATGAAACGAGCGACGTGCCGTCCCAGGCTGAGCCCGGCGGCCAGGAGGAGAAGGCGGAGCTGAGCCCAGAGAGCAGCGACCGCAGCTTCATCTCTGAACCCCTCACCAGCTCCGACTCTCTGCTCCTGAAGAGCAGAATGGGAGGGGGCAGCGGAGTGGGAGGAGATTTTGGGTGTAGTAGTGGACTGGGTGGAAAAACTGGTTTTAGTATTTCGAGCTTCCTCAGCCCTAACGTTTTTGGAAGTGTCGGGTCGGGGTTGGTTTCTAGAGAGGATGACCTCCCCAACACAACTACTGGCGATTCAGTAGCACATCACTTCCTGCTCAGACAGGATGCAGCTGGGCCATCTAGCTCCGCCTCTTCCTCCCTTCTGATGGGCGGTCCACTCGGGGGCGAAAGTCGCAACGGTTTTGGAGACAACCTCCAAGCAGATTCTCTGTTCCTCCGTCCCCTGCATGATGGGTTAGGGAACCCCAGAGGAAGTGCCGGTGGGGGGCGTGGAGGGGTGGATCCGTTTGGCCTGGACTTCCAGCGCTCTAGTCTTGGGCTTCACTCCCTGGGGCCACCGTCCCGAGGAGCGGGGGGGGCTTGTACCACTGCGCTTAATTATCCAGGTTACAGACGCATCGCTCCGAAAATGTCGAGCAGCATGGGAGGAGAAGAAGGTGGTGTTCTCCAGGATGCTGCCTCTTCCTCCTCCAGCCTGGCAAGTCCTCTGCTTTTAAATGAGGGCGGGGGATATGAGATGAATAATGGCAGACCCGCCACCCTCCTCCCTCAGCTGACCCGAGCTTCAGCAGACGTCCTGTCCAAGTGCAAGAAGGCTCTGTCGGAGCATAACGTCTTGGTGGTCGAGGGAGCGCGGAAATACGCCTGTAAGATCTGCTGCAAAACCTTCCTCACCCTGACAGACTGCAAGAAACACATCCGTGTGCACACAGGAGAGAAACCCTACGCATGTCTCAAGTGTGGGAAGCGCTTCAGCCAGTCCTCCCATCTATACAAGCACTGCAAGACCACCTGTCTGCGCTGGCAGAACAGTAACATGTCCAATGGCCTGCTGTAGGACTGAGGACGCTGCATTCAATCGGAGCCAGGCGATAGGATTAAATACATTTGGAATCTATAATTGGCCAACTTTTAAGACTCCATAATGTTGAGATTTTTCTGACCGCAAGAAAGGAGAAACCCACATTACGTTCAAGTTCTTGTAAACACGTATAGACTGTAGAAAGATAAGAGGGAGATGCAAAGGGGCAACATTTATCACCGTGATTGCCTCATAGAAAACATAGATGAGGAATTGACTCCCCTGTAATCATCAGTGTTTCATGAGGAGTGTCAGTACATGCAGCCCATGACATTTATATTTATGTTTTGATTAGTGTATTATCCCCTGAACTAAGAATCGTATCTACATTTGGAGCCGGTCTCTTTGACTGAGTTCACCATGTTGCACTGCCATGTTAGTAGACACGCTAAGAACGGTCAAACCAAAGTTTTTCGTTAACTGACCGAAAACATTGAATCTACTTTGTTGTTAAACAAGATAGTTTTATTTAATGAAGAGAGGAAATTTGATGTGATTGACATTATCGATCAGGACGGTAGAAACCCAAAAGAACAGTTTATCAATAGCTGAGAAATGATGTTTGTGCATACTCAACCACCATGTAGTGTCAACGGTTTGACCTCTGTAGTGGCCTTTCAGTCCAAGCGCCTTTGAATCTCAATCATCATAAGTCTGGCTGAGCTCAGTTAAAGTTGAGAATACGTCAGCGTCCACATAAGTCTGAGTTTTGGCAGAATGGAAATAATTGAATTGCTCTGTTAAACCAATTGCATTTTTTCTTTTTGAGGAACAATGAGGAAGTGAAATGTCCACTCACCATCTTGGCATTTGAGGCAGTAAGCAAATCCGCCCTTACTGGTCTTTGCACCTTATTTTGTGTTATGATGTGCAGGAGTTGCACTTTTGTCGACATTTTAAATGGTTTAAAATCTGGCATTCACTGACTGGGAATGACCACAAAAGTTCTGGCTGTGGTAAGTTTACTGACCGTCCTCACATCAGACCAGGTTCCATGGACGCTGTTGTTTTGTGTTTGCAGTATTTGTGTTTATAAAAAGGGTAATGAAGTAGTGCTGAGAGGCAGAGCCGTCTGATGAAAACTGTTAACGGTTTGCTGAGGTTCAGCTCGTGTTGAAAGGGCTTTAGAAATGTAAATATTGCACTTTGTATGGGTTTCATCATTTTCCTCTTGAGGGGAGACAAGAAATGTCTGAAGATTTCAATATTGTGTTTAAGTTTGCTACTGTACTATATACGTGCTCTGTACATGTGTCTTTTTACATCTAATGTTGCATCTGTACAAAAGCACTTGGACAATTCATTATTTTCTTAAAACTAATATGTTAACTTGAATGTGTATTTATGTGAAAACGGAGCTGTATGGAGACTGTCCGACTCTACCAGCCCTAATGGGCGTGTTCCTCTTTATACTACCATTAGGATATGAAATGCAAAGTTCAGAAACTAACTTTAAATGGTCCTCTGTTCATTGTTTCAAGTTAATTTCGGGAGGTATAGCTGTTTTTTGTATGTAGCTGTATTTTAATGTCAACTTAATAAATGATGGTTTAGCGTGAGATTGAAAAAGAGTACATCGATGCTGAAAGTAATCTAAACGTGCATCTCATAAATTATAAAATCCATTGGCCTTTTTTTAGACTTGTTTTGCTTGCTGTATGTGTAGAGTGTAGGTGACGTATGTGTGTCGCCTACCCTGTCATTGCTTACATTTGCTAGTCAGCATCTTATCTTACTGTAGAGTCAATACACTGTTAGCCCGTACAAAAGGACAATTCTATTTGACATTCATGAGATCACCTTGACATTTCACTTCAGAGATGAATTGCCTTAAATGATGTTTCACACTGTAAACGCAAGCTGACCATTCACCCTGTAAATGTTGACATGAAACAAAGTCCTTGTAGCTTGGAAACAGAATTTAAAAGAATCCCTGAAGGTTAAATCTCTTGTCTTTTTATCTGTGTTCACTCCTGCATTCTGTAAGGAGGGATGTGCTGTGAGTCGTAAGGGGTGAAGGAAAGATGTAGGCCACCAAAATGACTTCCACGCAGTTGCCAGTTAAGGGTTATTGTGGTGCTGTCTTCTTTAGCTGCTGCATAAACAGTAAAAGGGACTACTGTATTAAAATGTTAAAATACATAAAAGGCCTACATTGTTAATGAACGTCACTGCCTTATGCCCTCTAGCTTGAAAAGCTGGGCTTTTGTTGATATGCCAAATCTGATGTATTTCTGTGTGTTTTTCTCAATGTAACCATGAGAGGATTAAATGTGTCTCTTTACTGTTGAACGCTATGAAGAATGTACAGTTCAGTTGTTGTATAGACTGAATAAAAAAACAATGAAATTCCGTTTTGTTGCAGTTGACATTTTTACAAGTACAAGCTGACAGCACAAAGGAGTAAGATAGTCTTTAATATAACATTACATGTTCAGTTGACTGAATATTTAAACAGAAACAAATAAAGAAGCATACAATCACAAACTTATAGTTTTTCCTTTGTCCTAAATAATAATTAAGCACATGAGTTAAACTGATGGTCAAGTAGCTTGAGCGGACTTAGTTTCCTATCACAGTTTGAGTTCTTTGATCATTGGCTCGCCCCGCAGACCCAGCAGGAGGTTGTTCGCTGCCAGGGCGGACATGTTGTTACGGGTCGCATAGGAGGCACTAGCAATATGTGGGAGAATCACTGTGGGAGGAGAGAAAGAAAACAAATGATCGAAAGTCAGAATGTTGTGGTGGTGATAAGTTGGCAAAAATAGTGTCACTTGAAAACCAACCAATTTTAAGGCAGTTAAAGCACTAATAATTCTGAGAGACTTACCACAGTTTTTGAGGGTGAACAGTGGGTGGCTGGTGGGCAGGGGCTCAGGAACAGTAACATCTAACCCCGCTCCTGCTATCTGCCCAGTGGACAGAGCCTCATACAGGTCTTCCTGGTTCACCACACCCCCTCTGACACAACATAGAAACCACGTTTATAGAAAGACAGGGAAAGCAAAGAGACTGTACTCTTGGTCAGATTAAGAAGAAAAAAGGATCCAGTATTTTGGTCATTACATTAGCACAGTCTTTTTTCAAAGTCTAACAGAGAGAAACACAAGATGAACCTTAAAAATAATGAATGTCATGTAAATAAGGTTATATTACTTAGGTTACTATATGTTTTAAGAAGGATAAGGGTACCTGCTTGTGTTGATAAAGATGGAGGTGTTTTTCATCTTGGAGAAGAGGTCTTTGTTGCAGATCTCCTTAGTTTCCGGCGTTAAAGCACAGCACACAGACAGGAAATCTGACTGCTTGGCCAGCTCGTCAAAAGAGACTAGACCCAGGGAAAGTACCATTGATGTTATTAGAATAAAATCCTGAATGTCTAATTTCATGAATTACAAAAGACAGGCATAATGAGTATTTCTGAGATCAACATGTGAGAGGTCTCTTAGACTAGCCAGCATAATATAATGCTATTAAAGCCTTCACAATCCAACTTGTTGACAGTGTTTCTATTGTGCATTGTTTATAGCAAAATAACATGCTGGCATAGGATATTTTAGTATCCACAAATCTATATTGCTTACCATATTCTGCATTGATGACACTGGCCAGCTCAGGCCTCGGGGCCACGTCTGCGTAGATGAATTTCTTTACTTTGAAAGGCGCCAGACGCTCGGCGATAGCCACACCTTAGAGCACAAACGGCATTTATGCAAATGTAGGTTCGATGACAAAATGATGGGCATGTTGTGTGTGGTGTTTTATATACTGCATGCTCACCAATCCTCCCCAGACCCAGGATACCCACAGTGCTGCCGGCCAGCTCGTGTCCACACAGCCACAGAGTTCTCCATGTGCCCCAGCCACCACTGACACAAGAGAGAGAGAGACTTTGACCTCTGACCCTTGAAAAAGTGTTGTTGATGTATACATGGATACATTTGGGGTGTGTGAGTATGCATGCAACATTACGTTTTGGCTTCATGTGTGGCCTCGATGAGCCTCCTGGAGGTGGTGAGCAGCAGAGCCACCGTCAGCTCAGCCACTGAGTCTGTCAGAACATCAGGGGTGTAACCCACACGGATCCCTCTGGGGAAAGGGCAAAACACACAAACGACACACAGTGTTATACACGTATGTCACAAGGGGTTGGCAGACACAAGTTTGAAAGTGTTTTTTCCATTGGTGTAACCTTGAAATTGAGAAATTGAATTAAACTTAATGTAGGCTCCATCTACTATATCAGAACATCAATTTACAAACACTCAAACACATCTAGCAATTTTACACAGGTCTTATTTATCCTGACCTATGCTCACTACTTCCCAAACACATGCACCAATAATTGCACTGACCAGTAGTATTGTCAAATGCAGCCTCAAGATTTTTTACGAAAGAGAAGAATTACCTTTTTTTCAGCTCCTCCAAGGAGAGATGGTCAAACCCCACTGACATAGTACTGAGAACCTTCAGGTTTGGACCTGCAAGAGCACACCAATCATTTACACACATAAACACATGTCAATATGCTAATTGTGTTCAGACTTTCCTCAGACCTGCAGCATCCAACAACTCTGTATCGATCTTCTCCGTCAGCACGCAGACCAGACCATCGACACCTTTGACCTTCTGCAGCAGCTCCTTCCTGGGCACGGGGACATCATCGGAGTCCCACAGCTCAAACTGCACCCTAGGAAAACAGAAACCATGACTGATTATACAAATCAAATGAATGTTTTTTTGTTGTTGGTGCAAAAAGTAATTAGTTGCTGAAGCTTCAGTTACAGTTCTCAAGCTATATCACATATACTGTAAATGATAGAGGCACATTTCTTTAACTCTGCTGCAGGGGAATACCCTTCAGGCTACCAGTCTTATCTGACTAACCTTAGGTCAAACATTAGCAGTCCTGTTTACTCAAAGTAAATGATGAACTTTGCAAAGCAGAGCATTAGCAAGTATCACAGTCAAATCAGCTACAATACACAATTACTTTGTCATATACAATATTCTATAATAAAAACATTGATTTAAAGTGGTTAACAGGTCACCAGTACTCACTGTCCAGATTCACGGAGGATCTTCAGGCCCTCGGGGGGGATCTGTCGAGTGATATACACCCGTGGCAGGGTTGACATCTCCCTCTGCACCTTGCTTGTTAGACCTCCCGCCATATTCAAAGGAGTAACAGCAACCTGCTGGAGCCGACGCAGTGCCATACGACTGCACCACATTGCAAGATGAGAGTGAATCTGTGGGCAGGTGTCTGAGAGATGACAGTGGTGCTTTGGAGAGCAGAGCCTGTTGTGTGTATCATTTGGCTCTAGTTCAAGGGGAGGTTCCTGTCTGTGTATTCAACCAATATGATAAGAGGGAGTGTGTCTCTAAATTCTGAAGTTGAAGAATACTGTCTGTCACAAACCAAACACAAAATCAATTTTTGAGCTGAGTCTGGTTTAAGTGTAAATAGGTCATTTCACTTCAGGCATAACAGAATTTAAAACACAGATTTATAAATAAAAATGTTCCTCTTGATCTCACTCACCACACACACACATTTAGCAGACAAAACACACACATTTACAAAGACAGTAGATCCCGAAGAGCATAGAGTTGTTTCTTGAAATCAACCCCCAGAATGGGAGACAGTAGGATGTAAATGGTTCACTCTGCTGCTGACCTTTGTTTCTTTGAACAGTAGAGGACCAAACGCTGTTATTTTAGTTCTGTCTCTGGCTGAAATATGTTTTGCATTTTGTCTTTACTTTTCAATTGGAGCTGACTTTCATTCAAATACATAAATACATGTATGAATGAATACATTACAAATAAATAATGGTTTGATTGCTGACCAAGGAGTTTTGTGAATAATATACAATATAATATTGTCCAAATAAGATAGGTATTTGTCTGTATCATCATAAAAAAGAGAGACAGGTTAACAACTGGGTAATATTGTTTGGAGCTATGATCGAACATGTGAAAGTAGTTTTCCTGCTGATGTATTTTCAAACAGTTTTAATTGTCATGTAGTAATATCATACAATACATACAATACACAATTTTGTACGGAAGATAAAGTTTAGTAACAACAATCGTTTTAAGAAGAAAAAAATGGGCAAAAATGTGGAACGTTGACAAAATGTCACATTATTATGAAAATCCAGTGTTGACTTGCTGATTTATTGAGTTTTGAAAATGCAAAAATCCATATTTAATATGTCATAAATGGTATATTTATAAAATACTTATATAGAAAAGTATTTTAAATTGACATTTAGGTGGTTTTTATGGTGCTTACCCTTCCAAAATAGGGGATATTTCAATAACAAATGAAGTCCTGAAAAACACTGTGAACCTATTGGATGGCCTTGGTCATGTGATTACGGTAACCCGGAACCACTCCAAGTTTTTTAACCAGTCACAACCATTCATTCGCCCTAGCTTGTCGCGCATACTGACAGGTAGCTACGTCTAACAATTGGTGTAATTTGTGACGATATTCAAAACGCATTTTTAATATAAATGTGTAGAATAGAAACACTTAACATAGCTGTCTACCCTGCAGATTTATTCGTAGCCTAACGTATGTGTCATCACTTTTAACGAGTTTAAGATAAGTGTTTTCGCCACCGGCTCCAGGCAGCAGTGGCACTCAGAGCTAGCTAGCTGTAGCTGCTAACACTGAGCTCTACTCAGCAGCTTCACACATCAGCCAGCGTTTGTATTACGGTAGCTTACTGTTGTGGTATGTGATTGCTAGCATACCTCACTTTATTGGATCAAGACAGACACTTAACCTTTTGACAGTTGTCAGGTCAACCACATTGCTGACAGCCACATTGAGGGTAATGTAGCCAGTTTGCTAACCCACAACAGGGCGTTGGTTTTAGATTAAAAACGATAACCACCAAAACGTTTTATATCTTTAATAATCACGGTTTGTACTTTTATATTTGTATAAGGTGGAGTTTTTATCTCAGACAGTTGAATTCCCCCCTCTTCCCCTCCCAGTATGGCTGCAGACTCGATGGAGATTGACGACTCTCTTTACAGGTAAGTCTATTTACATGATTTCCCTTACTAAACCCCTTACACGTCAGATACAGATTTTTCAAGACAAGGAATATCTGGCATGCTTTATGCCATACGTTTTCAGTTTTGTTTCAACCAAGGTCAGGTTCCCTTAAACGATGCATAATATAGGCTACCTGGTACCTCTCATGAATTTCCATTGGAAAATAAATGACTTGCACTTAATGATAATACTTGTTATACCTCTACTGTAGAGAAATATTTAGGAATACATTGTATCATGTATTTAAACACAACACAGGTTACATATAAAACAA